TCGTGGGGGCCCATGCGGATCATGATTATATTTACCCCTTTAGTGTACATATGTGCATACATATTATAGTGCATGTGCGGGGGTATTTTCGATATTTAATAGTTTTTCTACAAAATCCTGTAGAAGCTCATATTTGTTGTAGTTCTTCAGTATTCATCTACAGGTAATATGTTGAATGCACAACGGGTTTCCCACAATGGCCCGTAGGAACTGGTTTACATTGTGTATCCTTTACCTTTGAGTTCTGTGTTATTATCAATGTAAGCTTAGGGGACCACTCTTCTTCGAGGAACTTGTAAGCCTCAATAATCTTATCCAACTCAATGTTTAGGACCCCATTAAACTAAGATTTATTCCATCTTTGAAAATAATGATTTGATCTGTTTCTATTCCTAGAAGTTGCATTGAGCTTGATACACAACTCTAATATCTTGTACATCGAAGTTAATGGCCACTGCCTTGAGTGGGCATTGTAGCGATTGAAGTTACCTCACGTTGTATAGGAGAAATATACGAGATATTCATTCCTAAAATGATTATTGCAGCCAATGAGATGACTGGGATGACAGATATATTCTCTATTTGTAGTTGTGAGTTTGGGCCACCAGACTTTGCATTAATCTTTAACAACACATTTTTCAAACATGGATCATTAACTCCAGTTGGCGTGACGCAGTATGTTTTAACATTCACTTGAATACATCTAGACACATCACGTTGTTACTTCTACTGCATTTCAAATCCCTTTGGTTGCAACTAACACGCTGAATTTGGGACAGGCCTCCTACAGTACCATTGAACACTTCTGTTTATAGGAAATTGATGTGCTTGATTGGTGGATTGTTACCGCTACTTGCGTATATTCTAGCAAGGACTGCTGTGTATAGTTGCAAGATAGTTGATGTTGACCGAAAGAGCTAAGTTGTCATTGCATTCATCATCTGCGAACTTCTATATCTTACAAATATCTAGAGCATTTTAGTTAGTGCAAGCTGTAGAAGTTCAATGCATATCTCTCATATTCAAGAGCCAAATGATACTAATTTTCCCTTTTCGCTTTGTGGAGGATCAACATATTTGATTGGAGTTGGATTTTCATCAAATCATCATGGTTGTGTTCCTCACAACTGTATCCTTCATTGTTACATGTCTTTTATAACCGTACCTTCTGCTTCAATTGACTCCATTCATCTTGTAAGCATGTATAGTTTGAATCTAGCTTATAGATGGTTTAAGGGGCTTATAGTATTACTGGCAACCAACATCACAACAATCTTCATAGAAGAGACTTTGAACCAACATTGGCAATCAAGTTGGATTTGTGTCACCTTACTTTCATCATTTGTAGGCGAGATATGCTCAGCTTTCTCATTTACATTTATTCATGTTAATTGTTGCTTGTCAAACTCACCTGCTTAAGGGAGATTGATGTATTTGTATCTTGCAATGATATGCTTTATATATGGTGCACTAGTTTAATACACTCACTTAGCATGTAGTGTATTCATATAGCATGCATGTGGCACTCTACTGTAGTGCACTTATTTATAGTTGTGCAGCATCGACTATATGCAAATTGCAATCATTTTGTACTTGATTGAAAACTATCATTATCTTGCTCATTATCATCTGTAAATAGATTGCGCATCTCATTGGAGATATACATCTATGCATTATGCTATTATTAGTTGTGAGTAAATGGTACCACACAAATTCATTGATCCACCAATTTTACAAATGCCAGTATTCCATTGGAAACATTGTATTATCATTCAAATAAAGTTCTGTATTGTTCTTTTGTCTTAGTTATGTTTGACTTTCAAGTTATGTCCATGTTCATTGTAGTTCCCATCTAGATTCGAGTCCAAGTCCTTTGTAGTCTTGTTTAGTTCAAGTTCAAGTTCAGATTCAGGTCAAATTTGAATCCATGTAATGTTGTTCATCATCATTTGTTCAGTGCCAATTTCCTTGAGTCAAGCTCAGGTTCACAAGTCTAGCTTGAGTCCAAGTTTAAGTCTGAGTTCAAATCCGTTGTCATTTTGGTTCGAGTTCAGTTCAAATAAAGTCCAAGTCCTTGTAAACTTTGGTCCACATTCAAGTTCACCTTTGCTTGTTCAAGTTCAAATTCAAGTCCACTTCATTGTTCAAATTGAGTTAATGCTTTTTTAGTTGTCCCGAGTTATAATCTCAACTCATCGTTCTTTTATCAATTGATTTAAGTTCAGCTTTATATAAGTTCAAGTTTAAGTCCCCAATTTTGTTGAAAAATCCGGCAGCCTCCCAGCATCTCCCCTGATTAGGGGAAAACCAAGAGTCATAGCCTATCCGCCACGTCAAGAAAGACGTGCACGGGCAGTGTTGTGAGACACCGCAGCTGTAGTCTTCTTCCCCCACCACATCAAGAAAGGCGTGCATGGGTCTTTAGAGGTACTTGTTTGAAAAAGCAATTTTTCCCGTGTACGGGTAGTTATATTTTGCCCGGCCATGCTAAGAATAGCGCGCACAAGGATTGCCTGCCTCGCCGTACGCACCGCACTGAATTCCATCCCGCCATGCTAGGAAAAGCGTGCACAGGGGTCCCTCAGCGAGTTGCAAATGCCAAAAATAGGACTCTTAGGGGGGATTACTCACCTCGCCGCGAGTACCGCGACGGACTTCCACCTATCCTTAAA